AGATTCTAAGGAGTCTTACTTAATCCATTAGAAGATACTGTTTTTTTTTTTTACATAAAAGAGAATCTCTTATACATTAGCACAGTTCCAAAGGAAAGTAAATTGTACTTAAAATATGCAACTGAAATCGTGAAAAAGTCAATGTTATGAATTAAAATAGGCATCCTTCCCCTCTCTTTGATAAATATGGAATCATGAAAACACGATTGATGAGAAACAAGCCACAAGTAATTTTAGATGTGTTTTTTCAATAATAAACCAGTGTTATTTTTCTCATGTTTCTTAATGACATTTTTCATCCCCCCAAAATTATGGGCCTTTCTTAATCATCATTTCCTATATATATTCTCTATGGATTAAACAACATTAATTCAGTAGTGTTTTAGTGATTAGTGATTTAGTAAAAAGCTTCCCACTGGTTGGCAGCACAAAGAACAGAAAATACTTAATCTTTAGGTAAAACCAATAAAAGTAAATCCATCTTTTTCTTATTAATAAAATCAGAATTTTATACATGTCCAGGGAAGCATTTTTTTTTCTTGTGGAGGATCATATGTGGAGAATCATAAGATGCCAGACTTTTTGAGGGACTGGCTCACTCTTAATTTTTTATATCTGCTCATCAAGTTGGGCAAGAGAGGCATGTGGGTCCCATTTATTAGGAATTATCATAGGGCAGGATCCAGGAGATATGCTTTTCTATGACTGTGCCTGCCTCTAGACACCTACTGAACATTTTGCAGAGCCTTGAAGATCTGGCTGTTTTCCCAATGATAAGGGCCAGGGGAGTATTTAATCACCCCCCACTATTGCTGAATGGTGCTTTGACTATTGGTTGGAAATGGTCGCTTTCATTTTTTTTATACGGCATATATTTCTATTATACTTTAATTGTTTTAGCCACCTAGAACCACATTATTGAGATGGGAATCCATATAAATCAGTATAAATAAATAAATATATGTATTGTATACATGCTTGCATATTTGGGTCTAGAGTCAAAAATGGCTGGGACTAAAATCAATATGGACTACTTCTTTTCTTTTTTACACCAATCCCATCTCTTTGATTCCACAATATTATATTTCATTCTTGCAGTTTACCATTTTTTCCTATGTATTTGCCACTTCCTTCTCCATCTTTTCAGTGCCCTCCTTTCCTGAAACTAGGTTATGGTCTGCATGAAATGGAATCATAGGGATGTGCATTATTAATGGTTGATTTTGTGACATTAGTCCATGGGAGTGGCAATATTTTATAGGTCCACGTTGTCTAATGCATCTGATCAAAATTTAAGGCTGCAATGTAAATCCATTCCTTAGGAAGCATGTCTATTAATCACAGAGAGAAACCTACTTCTGAGTGAACATGTTTAGAATTGTATTGCAGAGCAATCCTACTCGTTCTCAGTGGAGAATAAATCCCATTGAGAAAAATAAAACTACAGAAACTTTCATCCTACTGAATTAAACGTTTTAGCCTATATACGGTTGTTATAACAGAGGCTTCAATTAACTTAGGTGGCTACAAAGCAGCATGTATAAGCATTTTGGCTTGTGACATTTATTGTAGTAAAAAGAAGTTTAAAGTATAAAACTTTGAAAAATAATACTGTTGAAGTATAGTGCTGTTGAAGTATTGCTAAAATAAAAAGCTAGAGAGGGAAAGAGGAAGAAGTCTCATTTATTGGCTAGACAGTTATATTTCAGTAGTAATTTTTCCATGTTAGTGTATTTCAACAGTTAATTATTTTCAATAGCCTGTGCCATTTTAGAGCTACAACTGTGGCACTTCTATGAACAAATATCACCTTAGTATCATTATAATAATTAATGTATAATTAATGTACAATTATACATGTACAATTAAAACATTGTAGCATCTGTTGGTATTTCATTGAAATAGCCTTGTCTACTTGCAAGTTCCTACATCACTGAAATGGAAGCAATGCACAACCCTCATAATAAGTGTTTTTGCAATGAGTTAAATTGAGGTAAAAGGCTTGTTTGGGACTTCTGGGTAAGAAATGGTGAACTGAATATGGCTCTGTTAAAAGTGAAGCCAACAACAGTGGTTGAAGAAATAGCCAGTCTTCATAATTCCTCACTGGATAAGGAGAAGAAATTGCTCGCAATTTATAGTTGCTTCTCATGAGGAGACCAAAGACAGTAGTCTCTAATGGGTTTAGAGCTCCGGGAAATGAGTGTATAGCCATGTTTGCTCAAACTATGTTTCCTACCTTCTAAAGGGCATTGGGTCACATACTTCCTTTTCTAATTACTTTCAAAAATTGCTTGTTAGTTGCTTTTCAGCTATTAGGACACTTTGGGGTTGACAGGTTTTACAGTACTGGGTGAGTTCCCTTGAATTATTAGCAGAATAATACAAGTTTTACCTAACAAGATTGAGACTGTTTCAAAAGTGGATTTAAAAATAACAGGCTACAAGAATGATATGGAAAAAGATGCTACTCCAGATATATAAAAGAAATTGGCTGATATCTTAATAATACAAAAAACAAGACAGTGACCTGGATAATTTTCTGATACTGAATTTATAAAACAGGTTTCTTAAAAGTTTGAAAACTTTTGCAAGACAAAGAAAAAATGAAATAAAATTCAAAGACATTATTTGGAGGGATCAAAGATCAAGCTTATTAAAACTAAAAGGAAGAAATTTAAAATTGGTTTACTTGCTCAGAGTTAAACATAGCTTTGTTATTATCTGTGGTAATCCTTAACAAACTTGCTGATTAGAACTGAAATGTCAAGGCTTTATGATAACACATAGAATATGGGAAGAAGAGCTCATTTCTTGTATTTGAAGAAAAAGTGATAAATTATTAAATGGTTTATACTTGAGAAGAAGGGGAGCCATTTATTTATAAATTAGTTTCTTTTTCTTTTACAACGTTCTTTTTTTTTCTTTTCTGTACTTTTTACTTTTCATTTTCATTTTTTAGATTGTATTATTTTTTATCTTTGTAAGATAAAAGAAAAGGGGCTAATCTAACTACTAGAGAATGGTTGTTTCATCATACAGGAACTGTCACTAAGAAACAACATCTCTGGTCCTAAGTCTTCTTCACAAGAACAGGGAACCCCAAGAGGATGAGCTGATTCCAGGTAGAGAAATGGTTCCTGGTCAGAATTTCTATCAATCTCCAAGCTCAGACACTAAAAAAGCTAGTGCAACCAACTCTACAAATATTCTATTACCACACACAAAAGACAGAAGACAGGAAGAAAAGGAGAAGCACATCCCAACATAGTGTAGTTTATTATGTACATTATATTTGCATTAAATATTATTTTGATAGATGATATTATATATATGTATTTAAAATTATTTCATAAATTAATATTCCAATTGATAAGATTGTTATTCCCCAGCTCGTTGTAGTCAAATACAATGGGTTATGGCTCTAGGAGTTACCTCAGATCTTAAGGGGAATGAAGAAACACAGAATTCTTGAACATTTAATACTGAGGAAACATGAAAAATATTTTGAATATTCTTTCTGAGTATAATATTCTTTCTGAATATAAAATCTGAGCTAGGATATAATAGTGCAGATGTCAAGATTAGAACAAAAAGCAGTCCAAATAAAATCTTAGTGTTCCATCTAGGGATGGAAAAATCAGTTAATATTACTTTTTCTCAGTTTGGATTCAATAATTGTGGCAAAGAGAGGGTGGGTTTGTACCTACTTGCAACATAAACTGTTCAAGATGAGGAGCCTGCTAAAAGGCTTAATTTTACATAACCTAGATTTTACATAACCTCAGAGATCATCCCTCACTCCGAACCATTTTTGGCATACTGTGTTGATCATTAAATATTTCAGCTCTCACAAACAATGGTATATTGAAATAGGAAATGGAATGGAGCAATCATGCTATATTAGCGTTTCCTAATCTTGATGCCCCAGAGATGTGAGAATTTCATTTCCAAGAATTTCTCAGCTAGCATAGCCAGTACTGAGAATTCTAGGAATTGGTCTACACAACCAAAACATGGAGATTATATGCAGAAACCCAAAATACATTGCCATCTAGTTTCAATCAATGTCCATATATATAAATTAGCTCCCATATTTTATCAGGGTTCACATCTTGTTTATAAATAACCTAAAGCCAATTAAGAAAACAAAGGCAAAATTAAAATGTGCCAGAAGTCAACACAGGACTAATGAAATCATACAGTTTTTAATGCAAGTGTCAGCATGTATGGATGGTGTCAATTTAACATACCTCAGAAAATATATTTACAGTTGAAGTTTCTTATGAACTTCAGCACTTGTACCTTTCAGAATGCAGCAGATGATTCTGATGCTGACCCTAATTTCCAGGACCCCCTAGCTAAAGGATAAGCTTTACCATCATCTTCTAGCTCAGAGGAGAAATGTGTGCTAGGTTTTCTGATAATATTCTAGACTACATTGGTTTTTGAGAGGAGAGCTCTTTAAAATACTGTATCTTCTTTCTCAAAAAAGGCTATATCTCAAAGCCCTGTTTGGTATCATTCTAAAGATGGAACTGAATTCATTTGAATACTGATAACTGCTGGTCACCTTCATCTTGACCAGTACAAAACAAAACAAGAGTATGCTTCATTATATGTGTTGAGTTAGATCAGCACTAAGACAGGTCCAGTGATGTATGGATTCCATGAAACTCTGAACTGCTTTTGATGAGATTTCTAAATCTCCCATTTATTTTATTTGAGGAAATTAACACTACACCTTGAACTATACTATACCTTGAGGAAGAAAAACATCTAGGGAATGGTGCAGTAGTAAACTAAGAATATCCTAAGTTATCTTTATAAATCTATGATTGGGTTCATTTATATTGAAATCTTAGTGACTACTTAATGGTAGAGGATTATGATTTCAACTCTTCTCAAGATCATTGCTCTTCCTTGCTAGGTGATTCATGAAAACATGACTGAGAAGCTTGATGAAGATGAACTGATAAAATATAAATCAGTGAACTTACGATCCCGTGGGACTTCAATGGCTCTGATGAGGTTATGAAGATATGAAGCGAGCACCACGACCATATAGGTTAGGAGATACTTTTGAATTACCATGTTGAATATTTGGCTAAGGTTCTATGTCCTCAATTTCCTCCAAAAAAAGCAAAGTGGTGCCTTTACTGCTGAAGTATACCAAGGTGTTTTGAATTACTAAAAAAAAGAAAGAAAGAAGAATTAGTAAGCCACTATTGCATTAAAATTCATATAGGCTTCATTTTTTCCTAAATTTTCGCTGGAATGAGACAAACGAGAACAAACTACACAATCAGGTACTTTCTTGGTCTAGGATAATTCAGATGACAGCATCCGGTTATCTTGAATGTTCTTTCTTTAAAAAAAACTTAAGTAGGGGCAGATATGTTTAGTATTTAAATTCACTCTTATATGCAGAGTTTTTAAACAATTCCTTTAGCCCAAGATACGGCACTTGTGTATAGAGGTACTGCACTATACAATTGGTCATTTTTTTGAATAAATGAAAATGATATCACTAATGATGTTAATAGGAAAGAGAAAGGGAGAATCGTTTTTGTGTAAGGCTGTGCACAGGCCACACACAAGAGAGAACATTCACACTAATTTCAGTAGAGCTTTCTTTCAAAAACTCCATGAACTTATCCCATCTACCATCTCTCCTAGTATTCCACTCTTAAAGAATTGGTTTTTTTGTGTGTGAAAAAAGTAGTATTATTACCAGTAGCAAGAATGAGGAAGAACAAATGATCTGAAATAACACCTCCATAGTTTTTGCAAATATGCAGCTCAACTTTTTTTTGCCTCCTCAATAGACAGAGATTGTGCAAGCAAGTTATCTTTTCCTGCACTGATTTTTCTTCAGAGCTTAGTATGTTCCTAAAAATGCCAATGCAAGTTAACAAGTTCACTTCCCTGTCTTAATTGATTAGAACCTTCTGGTCAGCTAGCAACTGCTGCCTGAAACTGATCAGACCTTAATCAGTTTCAAACTGAAGGCTTTTATTATCCTAAATACTGTATAGGTTGGGAAATAATTTTATTACCATTTATTGCCATTATATTTGTGAATTGTCACTATACAAGGCAGTTGCTAAATGAGGACTACTTGTAAATGGGAATAGGAACAAGTTTCAGTGGCCAAACAGATACTGTTAGAAGATTATTCCCCCTCCATTCTTTTCCAATTTCCAGAACTGCTTTGTTATTTAAGAACAAGAATGCTACCTCTGCAAATATTTCACCCCCAGGAACCAACTTGTTGATTGCTTGGGATGCAGCATACAGGATAGGCAGCAATAATTAGTATGCTGCTTGAGGTCTGAGAAGTACTGAAAGAAGGCTCTTTTGCTGGATGAAACAAATGTTGCCAGCTTATTTGTGAAAACATTAACATTAAACTAGGTGCAAATGTAGACTCTCCAAAACAGAGAAATTTAAGTGCTACCAGCTGCGCTGACATCTTCTTATAAGTAGGCAATTCACCCTTTTCCTAAGAGTAATTTGCTGCCATGCTTGTGCGAGTGGGTAGTTTGTAGTCAGGAGACACACACAGTGCTATTTGCCCACAGTTGACATTGAATCAGGACACAGCCCACACTGTCCTGACCTTTACTGTTCCTGAGTCTGAAATTCTACCCACAACCTTAGTAATGCAAAAGTGATAGCGTTCTACAAAGATGCTGATAATGCAATCAATCTAAAAAAGCACACATAATAACCAGGAGCAAGAATCCTTTTCATAATCATTAAGATGCTGCTCAGGAGTGATATACCTGCCTGATATTTTATCCTTAACAATAATCACTAGTTTATTAATAAATATATAGTACTACTATAATATTATCAGTAAATCAGTATTATTGAAAACAATAACAAAATCTCTGAACATATTGCTACATTCTTTGATTAGTGGAAAATATGTTTTTTTCAAAAAATCACACATTTTGACCATCATTCTTTAACAACTGAAATAGTATCTCACTGGCAATTTTGCAATGTGATTTTTTTAGAGTACCACAGGAAAGTCAGAGGCTTTGAGATTTAGGATATTGTGCAGTTGAGAGAAGTTAGATAAAAAGGAAGCAGGAACAACCAAGTATTACTATTTGGTGGGGCAGTGGTCCTACAGGCCACCAAGCCAAGTAGAATAATTAATATGGATATAATAATAAATATGAATATGAATAATTCCTTCCTGGACAATATTACAAAACTTTCAGGGAATAGAGACATAGTAATAATGTGGTAATTTAATTAAGCAGATATTCTTAGTCATCTTGCAGACTTTCTTCTTTTCTAGAAGGTTAAAGAAGAGACAAAGGGGTCGACTGTCCCAGATCTGAAACTAAGCAATAACAAAAAAAAATATTAAGAGGGAAATTTAGTGTGAATTTTATGAAGACGTAATCATGGGATCCAAGGTACTACAGAAAAAGAAATTGAAGGATGGACTAATATACAAACCACATTTTAGGAGAACCCATTTAATAAACTTTAAAGTACTAATGAGATTCCACAGGGAGAAATTATCAGATCAATGGAATAGCAGGAAAGTTGAAAATGTCTTCAAAAATAGGATGTTGGACATATAAATTCACAACTTTTCAACAGACTCATCCACAAATGAAACAGTGTAGGAATCTCCTGGATCTGCATAAACAGCTTTCAACTGAGCCAAGAATGAGAAGGGACATATATATGAACTGATTTAATCACAAAGTTATTATCTTCAGAAAAAAAGATAGAATGCTAAATAAATTTAGGCTTATGGTAAAAGCAAAAGGTTGGGGGTAGCTATGCCAATAGAGAAATCCTAATAGGGAATGGGCCATTTGCTACGAGATAATGATAGCATAGTATTGGATTTTTACTATAACTCATTTCTAAAAATAACGAAAAACATATAGGATGAAAGAAGTGACATGCCACATTTGGAAATCAAAGTAATAGAGTAGTTCTCAGCCTATTAGAACTTCTCAGGCCTGTTCTGTATTCTGTTTATTGAATAAATAAAAATTGCAGAATCTTCCTAAAAGTCAAATTGCTGCATTGGTTCCTTCTTCCATTTTGTATTGTTCATAAATCTTGTCTTGTGTCAGATCCAAGAAAGCTAGCCAGATTTTTGTAATAGTTGGCCCCAGGCAGCTTGGCAAAGGAAATGCCAGAATATCAATCAGAACTAGGTTGGGAATCTCACTTATAGACCTACTCTACTCAAGGGCTCAAATTGCTAAAAATTCTTGATAGAATAGTGGTGTACAAAATGGAATTAATAAGCGTGATGGTCCCATCTAAGACATACTGTCTATTTGGTTACTGTCAGCTTTGGGACATGTACTGAATGGGTGGCACATATTGTAATCACAATAAGTTTTGCCCCATTTTACAACCTATCTTGCCACAGTTGCTAAGTGAATCACTGTAGTTGTTAAGTTAGTAACATGGTTGTTAATGAATCTGGCTCCCCCATTGACTTTGCTTGTTAGAAGGTTGCTAAAGGCAATCACATGACCCTGGGACACCGCAACCATCATAAATATGAGTCAATTGCCAAGAATCTGAATTTTGATCACATGACATGGGGATGCTACAATGGTTGCAAGTGTGAAAAACGGTCATAAGATGGTCATAAGACACTTTGTTCAGTGCCATTGTAACTGCAAACAATCATTAAACAAACTGTTGTAAGATGAGAACTACCTGCATAAAGAGTGACTAAAAGGTCTCTCTGATATCTTTGCAAATATGAGGTTAAAAAGCAACAGCAAAAGGAAGATGGATAGAAGAGCACGAGAACATCCTCTTGACAAATTTAGAGACATTAAGTATCTTGCAGCAGAGAACAATTTCAATCAGCTATTGAAAGCCATTAGGACATTTTAGGTAGCAATTAAGCATTTAATCTTTATTTACATTTGCAGGAGGAACAGTAAAATACCAGATGCTAATGCTCCCACAAAGACACTTTGTAAAGCTGCTTCATGGGTTTTATTCATATAATTACAAGTGATTGAACAACAAAAATAGTCCTGAAGGAGGTTCTTCATCACATTGCAAGTAATGAGGTGCACTGTTAAATCATTTATATTACAAAGAAAATGAAAGATTTAAAGGCATACTTAAAGTGTCACTGACAAGAAGCATAATCTTTCAACTATGCCCATGTCATTCAGCTTCCTTTCCTCTCTACATTTTCCCATGATTCACAGATTTTTGTGTAACAATAATTTTTGGGAGGTTATTTCTTTTGCTTTAAAGTCATCATAGACATTTGAGTTTGACTATCTGATAATTCTCTTAATTTGCCCTATATTGTGGTAGCTTTGTTTAAATGGAACAAAAACAAAATATTTTTAAAATAAAAATTGTAATATATATATATATATATATAATATTACACACACACACACACACACACACACACACTCACAAGTTCGATACCTGTGAAACTATGTTGTCAGGATTCGTTTTTGGGAAGGAAAATAAGGGGGGGGGGAATTCTGCCTCTGCCTACCAGCATCCATCGGTATTCATCTGGCTAGCGTCCTGTCAGTGTGTGAGAGAGTTGAGGGCTTTTTGAAAACTGAAATAATATTCGCTGTGTGACCAAGAAGGAGACAGCAAGGAGCCTGGGCATGGGTTAGCTCAACTGTTCTGTACTAAAGCTGCTTGGTCTGTGAAACTAAAACAAACTGAAATAAACTCCTCTCCTCTACTTGAGTTTTGCATTTGGAACAGATTTATTTTCAGGTGGGGAGGGGAAGTAGAACTCCTTAGCATCAGAGTGTGTTAATAATAATATATGAAATACGAATGCTTTGATTGTCATTTCGAAAAATCCTTTCTTAATGAGCACCTAGAAGCCAAGAGGAACATATATGCCAAATTTCAAGTTTGTAGGCTTTACAGTTCTGGAGATTATGTGATGATGTGTGAGTGTTATTTCGCTTTTATATATATAGATATCTTACACTTAACAACCATGTTACTAACTTAACAACTGCAGTGATTCATGTGTGTGTGTGTGTGTGTGTGTGTGTGTGTGTGTGTGTGATAAATATATTATATTCCTTTTTATCAAGCATGATTAATGGATGCACTGCTGAAAGCAATTAAATATTTCATCACTAACATGGAAACTATTCAGGGAAGGCAAATCGTGTTCCAAGGAACAC